TTAAATAGTGATATGCCAGTGCCTCTTCAAAATATGAGAATAGGCATTTCGTGTGAATTATTACTAACTCTCTTAATACTTGTTAATTCTGATTTAGGAATAACAAAGAGAGGTGTAATAGTAATACTTTCTATTAATTACCTGTATACACTCTCCCAAAAAAGTAATAGTTGAAATTCCTTCTTTAATCCTAATATTATGTTTGTACTTATTACATTTTTGAAATATAATTTTAGAACTCTTGATTGCAGTAAGATGAAATTTTGTTGTATTTGAATATCTAGTTATCTTTTTTTCAGTTATTTACTTTTATTGTATTTTTCAAAAGTATTGATTCATGCCAAAATGGAAAGAACACTGAACAACATGGATCTGAATTATGTGGGCCCATTTATATGCAGATTTTTATACACTATAGTACAGTAAGTGTATTTCTCTTCCTTCTGATTTTCTTAAGAACATTTTCTTTTCTCTATTTTCCCCATTCCCATTTTTTATTTTTTATTTTTTTTTAAGATTTTATTTATTTATTTGAGAGAGAGAATGAGAGAGAGAGAGAGCATGAGAGGGAAGAGGGTCAGAGGGAGAAGCAGACTCCCCGCTGAGCGGGAAGCCTGATGCGGGACTCGATCCAGGGACTCCAGGATCATGACCTGAGCCGAAGGCAGTCGCTTAACCAACTGAGCCACCCAGGCGCCCTTATTTTTAATTTTTTGATATAAGTTTTTAATTCCAGATTGGTAACATACACTGTAATATTATTTTCAGGTGTACAGTATAGTAATTCAACAGTTCCATACATCACCCTGCACTCATCATAAGTGCAGTTCTTAATCCCCATCACCTGTTTAACCCATCCCCTAATGCCCTCCCCTCTGGTAACCATCAGTTTGTTCTCTATAGTTAAGAGTCCATTTCTTGTCTTGTGTGTGTCTCTCTCTTAATTTTTCCCTTTGCTTGCTTATTGTGGTTCTTAAATTCTAAATCATTTTAGAAGAATACAGTATATAACAGGTATAATACATAAAATATATATCAGTCAACTGTTTATGTTATCAGAAAGGCTTCCAGTCAACAGGAGGCTATTAGTAGATAAGTTTCTGGGAAGTCAGAAGTTATATACGAATTTTCAACTGTGCAGGGTGGTTGGCGCCCCTAACCCTGTGCTGTTCAAGGGTCACATGTAAAAACAAATGAATTAAATTTAAAAATAGTGATCTTTCACAATAGTTTCAGAAGCACTGTCTTAGAGGAGAGTAGGTATGTTATAATTATAATCGAGGTATAAATTTCTGTATGTGAGAGTTCAACCTTAGTGTTTAGAGTAAGATAATGTTCCTCACAGCCGGGAGTATAGTCACTGGCTTTGCACCTGGGCATCAGGTTTCAAGCAGGATAAAATCTGGGCTTTCCTACTGGGGAAGGGATTCTAGAGGGAGAAAAGTGTGTGGGCAAAGGCACAGAATCAAGGAAGCTTCTGAGCTTACGAAGAACATCAAGAAGTTCAATGTGCCTAAAATACAGTGTAAAGCCGACTAATTGGAAAGAGGCTGAGCTTAATTCTGAGAGGCTTGCTACAAAGGGAGGAGTGAAATTTATTCATCTGGCAAAAGGGTTCCTCTGATGTTTTTTGAGAAGTGCATTAACAGTTTTCAGCTGGGCCTCATAAAGTTGGATTTAATAGGAAACTGATGGAGGGATTGGTTGGAGACCCATGTGACTAAAAAAAGGGGAGGGCATTATTTTTCTTAATTAGTTATACAAATCACATAAACATACTCTTTATTAAAATTTAGAAAAAAAATGTAATGGCTAAAGAAAAAAAAAACAATGCAGGCCAAAATCCAGCCATCTGGACACATTCACTGGTATGCAATACAGATAATGTGATATCACATGCCATAAACACTGTTTTGAAGACCTCTTTGTTCACTTTTTCCATCGTGAACATGCCAATAAATATGCTTATATATCTTTCTTTTAGTGACCACATAAGTTAAGATTCCATGGATATACCTAGGGAGAGGACATTCCTGCAATACTAAAGATGAAAGGATTAATAGCAATGAAATCTACAACAATGAGATTATTAAAGTAGCTGGCACATGTATTAGAGACTGGGAATGGCATTTCAGAGTTGAATAAAGAAATAGGGTAAGTTTTACACTTAAACATAGTGGGTAAAGCAGGGTCCATCTCTTACCAGCTGTGTTTTTGAATATTTTTTTCGCTGAAGTCTCAGTTTTCTGGGGTTAATAATTTTAACTTTACATGCTATTCATGAAATATTGGTAGAAAGCATCTAGCACACAACCTAACACAGAAGGCCCTCAATTAATATTCTTTGATGATTGATTGATCATCAAATGTTATGTGGGGAGATGAATAATGTTACCGAAGATGGATTTCCAGGTTTCAAGGTGACATAACTAGGAAGATGTTATAAAAATGGAGATTTCAAGGATATGAGCAGATTTGGGGGAAGGCAGTTGTTAAGCTAACCATGAACATGAGCACCCATCCAAGGCTGCAATGACATTCACAGATATATTAGTTGAGAAACAGCATAATGAACGACATTACTGCATTACATCCTAGACTTGCCAGGGCCACATCGACTCCCTCCTTCTCCTTGACCAGTAATGCATTAAGTGTTTGTAGGCGACCTCCAAGAATTAAATGAAGCTTCCAAATGAGCTCAGCTTTGACTCCTTCAAGCCACTTATATACTAAGATGACCTACTGAGACATCTCATAAAGAAAAAGATGACATTTCACCCTTAGATATAATCTGTGATAATGAGGCCAAGGTTACACATTTTATCCATATAGTTCCCACTGTATTTTCTGGCTATGTGAGGAATATGTAAATAGGCCAAGTATCTAGTGATCACCAGAAAGGAGATCTGAGTTAGATAAGAGAAATGAATGAGCACAAATCTACTCCTCTACTTGAAAAGCAACCCAGTGCACAAAATCTACTGACGGTGAGTCAATTTCTTCAGTGGTATTTGTAAAGACTGCATATGTCTGAAAGATTAAATTGTGTTTAACCTTGTTTAAAAGATTATTTTTATGTCAAATTATTTTATAAATATCTTAGATCTTAGGTTTTACTTAGAGTGTAATAATAACACTGCAGCTTTGTCTGAGGATATTTTCTCAAGATCAGGTTTACCAATGATTGGAAAGGAAATGATGAAAAAAGTGATGAAAAGGATTAATTGTAAATATATTATTTTGGTATCCTGTAAAGGGTTAAAGTGGAATGTTTGTCCTAAATATTGAAATGTGGTTTAATTTAGCAAGCAGTTCACCATTAAGTATCTGTCCAGGCTTTTGGCACTTCAGTATCAAACTATCAGTCATACAGAGGAGTAAAAGCTCGCTTGAGAAGGGAGATGAAACCCGTTTTTTTTTTTGCTTTCCAAAGTCAAAGACTACACAAATTTCTATAGTTTGGACAAAATCATGGTAAATAAAACAGAATGCTCCTGAGCAGTTCAAATGTAATGACTCCCGATTTTTTCCCCACAATTTTTATGTCACCTCTTTTAATAGAAAATAGGAATGCTAGCAAATACAAAGATGATTTTAAAATTAAAAGCAGGGGAAAGATTTGTGAGAGATCCATGCAATGTCGGTATTGATATACCTCTTTATTAGCCTTCCTTAGTCATAGTGCTCATCTGAACTAAACATAGGGTACATCTAAAGTCATTACAGTGCAAGGCAAGAGTATGGCAAGTCCTAAATTTATGAACAATTCAAAATAAAAATTTACAAAGAAATTAATAAAATGCTATCTTGTTTTCTGTATCTATAATATCATCACCATGATATACACTCATCTTCCAATTTTAACTGAAACTTGAGTTTATCTAAAAATAACACTGGACTTCAATTAAATACATTCATTCATTTATTCAAATCTTGAGTGCCTGATCTCCAGGAACTGAATCAGTGCTAGGTAAACAACTATGATTTGACCTCTGCCCTCACAAACTAAGTTACATTCTTTTTATAGCTTGCACAAATTATCATTTAATTTGCAGGCATAAATGCACTTAATTAGGATATTAGAGAAGAAAGAATGGACTGTATGTGAGATGGTCTTTATTAGATAAAAAGGCAAAGCTCTTTTTATCTGTCATACAAATAATCTACTCTATGCCTTGCAAACAAGCAAAGTTATTATGTCTAAATAAAGTGAAGGGTAAAGATTAATAACTATCTAACAACAGTGATTAGTATGGTCAGGCAAATTGGAATAGTCAAGGAATGGAAACATGACTTCCTTTTTAACAAGGAAGTTTACATTTCTTATGATTAGATTATCCAGTAACTTCTCCTATTATCTTTCATTAAGACAAACCAAAGTCCATGGAGCATTCAGTGGTTTTTATTTTTTGGTTGTTTCTTTTTTAATCTAGATGCTTTTTAAAAGCTTTTGATAATAATAAAATCAGAAATAACCTAAGGGAAACTGAGGCAGTGTTTTTTCTGGAAGAGGACAAAGTGCAGTATATTTCCATGCCATACCCAAGTATTTCAACTTTGCAAAGATTCTTCCTAGTTTGTAGCACTTAAGCTTAAAAAGAAAAGCCACAAAGAGAGAAAAGAAAACTAATGTGATTGCCAAATTTGAAGCACTTACCTATAAATGCTCCCCAAATCTAGACTCCTACACCAACAAGAATTATCCAGAGAAGTGAAAAAGATTTAACACATGCTTAAAGCCACAGAACTAGTGATTGTGAAGAACAGCAGAGATAGAACAGTCAGTCTAATACTTGGAGAATAATTTGATTGATGACCTATCTTAGGAATTGGATTTCTTGCATAAAAGCCAAGTTATTAATTTCTGACTAAGTAGTATATTGGTATATGTAGTCATTGAAGCATAATATCCATTAAAATACTAAAATACCATTATTTACTTTAATTTTAATGACATGGAACTCAAAATAAATATAGCACATACAAATGCGTGCACATACCATTGATCCACCGAGCTTCTGGGTCATGAAGCACAAAGTCTCTCCTGAAGAGGTCTTCTAAAGACAATCTAGTTTCTGATGAATTTGTGAGTTCATCTAAAATAAAATAAATCTTAGATTAGACACTTACCTCAAGTTAGTTTTGAAAACTAATGAATTATAAAATTTGGAGTATTTTGTTACAAAGATATGTGAACTAGAGGACAATATAAAGTAGTTATCTTCGTATGGTCTTTGGCATTTGAAGCTTTTTGTTTCATGAAACTTTTTAATATATTATTTTAAGTATTATAATTGTCTTCATCTAGCACAAATTTAATAGATCAATCCTTGTTATGTAGTGATATGTAATATAAAAATAGTTAAGAGTTCCTGTTCTGCATTGTGCCCACACATTTTTCAGGGTTTAACCATAATCTAGCCCATTACTTTCCAAAATGACTTTGACATATTCTCCTAATGCTAAATTTATATTTTTGTTGTAAACACCAAAGATGAGAGAGTTGAGGGTCCTGATATAAATGATAAAGAAAACTTCCCAACTCAGAAGGAAGTTCACCAAATACACAGAATGAATAACAAGTTCCACCAAATAATTACCACCAAATACTAGATTTAGAAGTTAAATATAAAAATTCAAACAATTCCAGTATATTAATGAAGAGCACACATTTATATAAGTCTCTGACATAAAAACTAGTTACATTCCTCTTTTTAGTTCAAGAATCTAAGAAATGGAAGGATAATATGGTTGAATTACCAAAACCAGGCATAACAAACATGTTTTTGATACAAGAGACCATAGAAAGTTAGCAATATTTCATTTCTTTTCAGTAGCATTTTTTATTTACTGAATAAAATCATTTTTGTTACCTTTCAGCTGTGACCTTCACTCTGGTTGAAAATAAAATGTCAAAGATATATACTAACCTCATTAGATATTGTTTTTTAAAGGTTCAGCACTTATTGCAATGAGAGCTTTGTTTCTTCCAGCTGAAAAGCTGGGGTAAAGAATCAATAACTTCAAATGCAATTTCCTCTCACATGAATCAACCCATATTTAACCAATAAAATAATTGCTAAGAAACAACTGAATAAAATATTACTAATGGTGATAGTGAGAATTGTACGATCCCAAGGCTAGCATAGGACATTGTGATCATATATGGATTTTCAAAACAAAACGGTCCATTTGATAGTCTGACACATCAAAATTGGAACTTTCTTTATTCATTCAGCAAATACTGGACCCTTAATTTTCCAAAACTTTAAATGAAGTATTATAAGTTACTGAAGACATATCTAGGATCTGTCCTGAGGGATTCACACTTGCAAAGCAAGAAAAATTATGCTAAATGTCAGAATGAGGATACAGAGTAGTGTAGAAGTACAAAGAAAGGAAGGGAATATCTTGCAAAAGGCATCAGAGAAGGCCTCAGTTATAAATAAAATGACCAACTCTCATCCATTGCTGGAGGGAATGCAAAGTGTTAAAGCCACTTTGGAAGACAGTTAAGTGGTTTCTCACAAAACTAAATATACACTCCAGCATTTGTGCTTTGTGGTATTTACCCAAATGAGTTGAAAACCTATGTCCACACAAAACTCTGGGTATGAACTTTTATAGCAGCTTTATTCATAATTGCCAAAACTTGGAAGGAACCAAGATGTCCCTCAGGAGGTGAATCAATAAACAAACTGTGATATATCTAGATGACAGAATATTATGTAGTGATAAAAAATGAGCCATCAACTATGAAAACATATGAAGGAAACTCAAATGCTTATAACTAGATAAAAGAAGACAATTTGAAAAGACTATACACTATATGATTCCAACTATGTAATACTCTGAAAAAGGCAAACTATGGAGAAACTAAAAATATCAGTGTTTTGCCAGCGGTTGTGGGGCAGGGTGAGGAAGGAAAAACAGGTGGAGCACAGAGGATTTCTAGAGCAGTAAAACTGCGCTGTATGATCTATAATGGTGGATACAAGTCATTATACATTTGTCTAAACCAGGGCACCTGGGTGGCTCAGTCAGGTAAGCATCCGACTCTTGATTTTGGCTCAGGTCATAATCTCAGGATTGTGAGATTGAGCCCTGCATTGGGCTTCAAGCTTAGCACAGAGTTTGCCTGAGCTTCTCCCTCTTTCTCTTCCTCTGCTCCTCCCCAGCTCTCTCTCTCAAATAAATAAAATCTTAAAAATCTTAAAAAAAGAAAAATAAACCTAGATGTGTGTGTGTGTGTATTTTTCTTACAAAGATTTCTTTTTTGTACCTAGGTAAATTCTACATATTTTGTCTACTGTATCTTTAATGATACAGATGTTTACACATACTTTATTACATCTTTTACAATGCAGATACAGATACAGATGTTAATATAAGAAATAACCTTACAAGGCAAGTGCACCATACCAAATAATCTATTTTCAAATAATATTTCAATTATATTATCAATAATTCTCAAGCATATTTTCCTTTATATGATCTTTAAATTCATATTTCAACATACCAAATGGATAATCTTATTAAAACTGCAATAAATATGCACAATAAATTGGAAAACTTTAACCATTTTATAATATTAAAACTTTTCACTCAGAACTACTTATACCACTCACATTATATGTACATTTATAATATAGCATCTTCTATTTTTCATATAGACCCTTTACTTTTCTTATTAGATTTAGTCCTAATTACATATAGTTTATTATTACCATGAACAGAACAGCTCTCATTCTTATTTCAATATTATATATTATAGATATATATGATTTTAAGGTATTTGCAGATTCACATGCAGTTGTAAGAAATAATACAGGAAGAAAATCCTTTATATACTTCATCTAGTTTCTCTCAAATACATGCAATATCTTCCATAATACATATCACAAAAAGAAACTGATATTTATACACTCAAAGTCATTCAGATTTCAATTTTACATGTATTCATTTGTGTATGTGTGTGTGGGTATGTTTGGTTCTATGCAATTTTATATATATGATGAGCACCAGTCAAGATACAGAATAGCTCTATCACCAGCATAGAACAGCACTTTTATTACCATAGCCTCCCTCTGCAGCCATTGGCAAACACTAATCTATTTTCGATCTCTATAATTTTGTTATTTCAAGAATACTGTGTAAAAAGGATAATACAACATGAAACCTTTGGAAATGGACTTTTTTTTCACTCAGCACATTCCCTCAAGATCCATCTAAGTTGTTGAGTCTATCAATACTCTGTTCCTTTTGATTGCTGAGTAATATTCCAGGGCATGAATATACCACGGTTTGTTGAACCTTTTATTCGTTGAAATACATCTAGGTTGTCCTTTGTAGTTTTGAGTTATTATGACTAAAGATTCTACGAGCATTTTTTTTAACAGGCTTTGTATGAACATAAATTGTCCTCTCTTTGGGATAAATGCCAAAGTGTGCAATTGCTGAGTCACATGGTAAGCATATGTTTAGCTTTGCAAGTAAATGTCATAGGTTTTTTTGGAGTAGCTGTATCATTTTGCAATTTCAACAGCAATATATAAATGATCTAGTTTCTCTGCATTCTTGCCCCAATTTTTGTGTGTTTTTTTTTTAATTTAGCTATTCTGATATCAATGTAATGATATCCCATTGTGGTTATAATTTGCATTTCCCTAACAGCTAATAAACATCTTTTAATCTATTTGTAAACAGTATATTTCCTTCAGTGAAATGTCTGTTCATGCCATTTATCTATTTCTAATTGGATTGCTTTTGTTTGCGTTTTTCTTGGTTTAACTTTTGAGTTGGAAAGTTATTCTAGATACAAATCATTTGTCAGATATTTCAATTTCAAATATTTCTTCCAAGTCTCTATCTTGTCTTTTCATCCTCTTAAAAGGGACTTTTCTAGAGAAAAAGTTTTCAAAATCATTGTGGTCCAGTTTATCAATTTTTCCTTTAATAAATCATGCTTTTGCTGTCAAGATCAAGAATGCTTCACCTATTCCGTGGCCCTGAAGATTTTTTCCTATTTTGTTTCTAACAGGGTCATAATTGTCTATTTTACATATAAGTCTCTGATGCATTTTGAGTTATTTATTGTATATGATTTGAGGACTGTTTGAGATTCATATTTCATTTAAATTTTCTTCTACTGGATGCCCAATTGCTCCAGCACCATTTGTTAAAAAGCATTTATTTCATTTTAGTGAATTATTCCCTTATGTTAAATGTCAAAAACAACATTGAATAATAATGGCGGTAATGACACACTTGTCCTTTTTACCTACAATGGCAGCATCTTCAATATTTCATTATAGAATAAGATATTTTTTCCTAGAATTTTGGTAAGGAAACTCTATCATTTGTAGGTAATATTTTTTATCCCTATGTCAGTTTTTATTTGAAATTATTACCATGTCATCATGCAGTTCCAGCCTCTTTCATATAAACATATTTTTTCCTCTTTTAATGTATTGATATAAAAATTATGTAAATGAAATTTCCTATTTCCAGCCAACTTCTATCTTTATAACAAAGCCCAATTGGTCAGGTGAATTGTTATCATTTTATACTATGAAATTAATATGCAAAATCATTACTTAAATGTTTAGATCCATGTTGATGAATGAAATGATATGATCCTTTTTTTTTCCATTTTGTATCATACTCATCAGTTAATATTTTAATATTTATATTAAATATTTTTGAACTTTTCCTGTGATCTGCAGTAATTTAAAATATTTAAAAAGAAGAATTTTTCTTTTAACTCCATTGTACCTGGAATTGATTTTAAAATCTTTTTTTTTTTTAAGATTTTTAAAAATTTATTTATCAGACAGAGAGAGAGTACAAGCAGGGGGAGTGCAGGGCAGAGCAGGCAGAGAGAGAAGCAGACTTCCCGCTGAGAAAGGAGCCCAATGCTGGACTCAATCGCGGGACCCCTGGGATCATGAACTGAGCCTAAGGCAACCGCTTAACCGAGTGAGTCACCCAAGCACCCCTGATTTTAAAATCAACCCATCAAAATAATTCAAATTATTGTAATTAATCTTCCTTTTAAACAATAATCAGAGAGAGATATATATGTGATTTAAGAATT